AGTGCGCTTTTTATTAGGAACTTTTTTCACTAACTACTTTTAATTTATAAGGGTTTTTACGCAAAAATCACAGATCATTCTAATTAATAAATAATTATTTACTTTGTAACACACAAAATTTGTAATGTTTTTATATTTAATTATTCAAGTGAGAGTTCCCAATTCACTTCAAATAGAATTTTATTTAAACTGACATCGAATTAGCGACACAAAATAGGATTATTAAGGGCGTGTCTGCTGGTGATTTCCAGCAGATTTTCAGCATTAATATAGCCGTTTTTTTTTCAAACGGTGGCCCCCACCCCTCTCACATACAGTTAAAAGTTGCGGTTTTAGGCTCTCCCAACAGTTGAAATATCAATTCTAATCAGTCAAAGAATTTGCTCCAGACAGACACTAAATCTATTTTTAAGTCATCATTGACTCTTATCTTTCAAATTAACTGTTTATAGGTTTTTCAAATTGAAAGATGTGTTTCAGAGTATGTTTTGTGCTCTTCAAAGTGGTATCAAGAACTTTTTTAGATGTTCAAAAATCATAATTTGAAACAAGTTGAAAGGTGGGACTCTAGTATGTAAATTTATAGGAGTAGTCATTTTTAATTTTGTAAGTTTGATCTTGTCATTTAACGGTTTTTCGAATCGAAAATCGTCACTGCAAAGCGCATTGTGAGCACTTCGAAAGTATCAAGAATATTTCATAATGTTTGAAATGTATAATCCAAAATGAAGAATACGATTGGTGCGTGAATTTATGCATGTGACCTTTATTTTGGGTTTGTTTGGAGAGATTTTTTCAAAAATATTTTATTTCAGTCTTATTTTCTACCACACATTACGTGGAACTCGTAATTTTTCTCTACTTTTAATTCAGTCATTTTTTGGAAATCATTTTTGACTAAGAAAAATATTTTCTATATTGAACAACTCAAGTAAGTCTTGTCATGCTAGAAGTTTAGGAGTCATGTGTTGAATAAACACTTTGGTCACCCTCACAAATGTATTTTTATCAGTTTAATTTCATTTTATTACTTTCAAATCTAGATTTGTAAAATTTATCAAGGGATTAGGCTCTGTTGGATGAAAATTATAATCTGAATTAATCTCCACCAAAACAGTCCAGATGTTGTCATCCCTAGATAAAGGTAGAGGGCACCCCTATTTTTGGTATTATATTATTATGTATAAATTAATTAACTGGTTTATAATATGGAAAAAATGTGCGCGCACGAGATGGGGCGGGCGTACGGCGATTTTGGTGGATACGCCACGTGCAGTCCAGTTTGAAGACGTGGCGCCGTGCATGGAGAAAAGGCTGACTCGACTAGCTATTTTCTAGAATCCAGTGCCACTTTCTTCGGCGCCGTAAACTCACCGGCTTCGTTTACTTTTTAGGCTGAGCAGTCTGCTTTCTTCTAAGCCATTAATTGAATATATTAAAAAGTGTATTACGTATCCATAATTTAATGATGTCATGGTTAATATTTCGTAAAAGTTAGAAAAATTTTTAATCTTCTAAAAAGTAGATATGTCGGCATGATGACCTGATTGACATTTTTTAAACATGAAGACAAAAGATGCATTCATTCACCAATTTGTAATTAATCTAACAAATGGTAGTTGGACACTGATAGTGAATGAATAGATTTTTTTAGAACAAAATATATATATTTAGGCAAATTCAATATTAAAATAAAAAAGTGGGAGATCCAATTTTGGGTCTAGAACCAAGAACAAATCAAATTCATTGGTTCTCGGTTCTAATACCCATTATCAAATTTAACCCAAGAATCGAATTGACTCACTCGATTCAATTTAGGTTCGGGTACAATTGTACATTGTCTGTGTCTTATCATTGGGTGGTGGCAACGACGTTTTTGATGAAGGTTATAATGGCGTGCGTAGGAGGAGGAGAAAGTGGTAGTTGTGGTGCTGGTCGATATCAAATCTAAAATCGGTTAGCTTGGTTGTGGTTTAGTGATGGTAGATGGTGGAGGTTGCTGCAGTGGTGGTATTGGTCGTTTGTGATTGGTGGTGGTGGTCGTCGCTGCAGTGGTGATATGGGTTAATTTTGGCAGTTTGTGTGTGGTGAATTATGATTGATTTGACGTAATTCCAAAATTGCCCGATATCATAGTTAAGTAATAGAGTAGTGAATAAAGTATCGTTCTCACGGTGACTTAATCTAATTTTCATGTAACACAAACTTTAATCAACTAACAAGATTGGTTGAGATGAATTTTATATTAACAATCTAATCTTTATACCAAATTAACTAATATAGCAACTAACGTTAAAACGTTTGCGAGAGTTAAATAGTTGCTAAATATTAGAATAATGAATCTCTGTACTTTCATCAATTTTAATATAAATTTATGACTTAGATGCACATATCGAGATATGAAAATTAATGTTCACAATTTATTTAATAATATCTCTGAAGTAGAACTAAACATATCGTCACATATGAGTATGACATTTATATATCTCTATGAACGAAATTGATCTTCTAAGCCTCGATACTTAGATTAAGCTAAGTATCGATGACGCGATACACTACAATAGGTGGTGTAATCAATTTTATATCCAATCATTATCTTCCACTACCTATTGTAATATACCATCTCACCCGAGAGCTTAGCATAAACTAAAAACCGATGTTTAGAAGATCGGTCATGTCTCTTTGAAAGATACAAATATATAAAAATGCATTAAATTACAAGAAACATCTAAAGTTTTGATCAAGCAAAACATAGTAGTATACCTCTATCCCGTATCAGACTATACAATAATTGTTACTACGTGCCAAAATCATATCCCCTCTCTCGAATGTAAATAGAAATTACATACCAATTCAATTAGTAGCTAATTAATTGAAAATCAATCAGTAATTAACAACCATTCAAAATCAAACACGTGCTTTAATGTCAAAATATGGAATTAAATATCAAAATTGAGTGTTTAACGTTATCATAGTATCTACACAATTAGTCAAGCATCAAATTAATTACAAAAACACAATTTAAATATACATCACCCAAAATTGAATAATTGAAAATAAGATGGAAATGAACCGTGAAGTTCTTGAATCTCTTTAATGGATCAAACCCCTTCAATTCTTCTTATCCTCCTTCGATCCAAAATATAGACTAGGTTTGGATGTGTTTTGTAACAAGCATCAATAAAGCTTTGAATGGGGGGATGGAATTGTAGAACAATCACGTGAAAGGTTTCGCTCTATCTTTGAAAGATTTATGGATTTGATTATTGTATAATATATTCATAATGAATCTTCACAACCCTCTTCAATTGTTGAACTAAGGTATGTACTTATAGAATAAGATTTATGTCAAATCCTTGTTCCAATTGGTTTCCAAAAAGATTTTGAGAAACAATTTCCTTTTCCAATTTGATTCATTTTCTCATACAATTCTAATCCTTGATCTTCTAATATTAACAACTAAGTCATCTTCATTCCAAAATTATTAATAATTGACTTGATGTAAGTTTCGAAGTTCAGGATTTAGTCTCCAAACTTTTCAAATGTTAAATTTAATTCCCAAAACTTATATATTTTACCAAACGCTCCATCAATACTTCCAATTGATAAATTGCTATTAGATTGATCTTCAAGTGCTTTGAATGAACTCCAATTATGCCCCAATTTCACTTATTTCTCACCTAATTCATCCAAGTGCATCAAAATTGTGGTTTTACCTACAATTAACCACATTTATACAAAAATAAATAAATATTAGCTAAATTTACTATAAACAATTAAGTAAAGAAGCCATAGATAACTGCACAATCAATGGTATGCATTTGTTTTTGTGTGTATTTTGAAAAGGCAGTCTGTGTCAAATAATAAACTAGTAATAGTAGATTTAGAATTTTTAAAAGTAAGAAGAGTGTTTGGCATCATTTTCCATTCTTATAATTATCCAAGCCCAAGTATAAAGATTGTAGCGCGTATTGTGATTTGAGATTTACTCGTTACTACTTTGCCGTGATATTTTTGTTCATATCCTTCTAAAACTCTATTTTCTACGTACTTATTTTTAATCACATATTCGCACAATAAAATATTTTATACGTAAATTCAAAATTTTTCCATACTTTTTAATTATACATTTTTCAAAAATTCACTATTTAAAACAATATTTTTTCGAAAAAATAGCCACCAACAAGGGCTTATTATAGTGAATAAAGAACTTTATCTAGGAATGACAAAATTCTCGCACACATCCACTTGCCTTGCTCCCGATTGAGACATGAAAAACATAGTTCTCGTCCCGATTGTTTTGAAATGATCCCAGAGTTTTTTTTTTTTGTTTTGTAATATATTTTTCAATTTAAATTGTATTTGAAATAAAAAATAAGTTGTAAATAAAGATTTTTTAATTCCGTCCCTACTCTCAACCTGTTCCATTATCATGTTTTTAATTTTACAGAGCCTGCTTATATATTACATTGCTTAAAATTCATTCCTTGAAGAGGGGACAAAGAATTAAAAGAAGAAAAGGAAGCCTATAAAAGAATAGAAAAAGCGAAAAAGAAGAGGGAATAAAAGGCAAAATCTAGAAACCGTATAAGGCTAAAAGGGGAAAATCACTCTCCACCAACCCAACAAAACTCTCATTGAAGCCGGCTAGCTAGGTTTAAGGGAAGAGCCAGCCACAATTTGAGTTGCGGATTTCAAACTTTGAATTCAAATCCAGTTAATTGCGACGAAATTAGAAGGGACAAGAAAAACAGGACGGAAAGGAAAGTTTGATTCCACCCAAAGGAAGTAAAAGGAAAGGAAAAATGCAAAAGCCCGTGAAACGTGATGGGACCCCCTCGTTCCCCCAACCCAATTCCCCACTATATAATGGTTCCTGCCCCATTCTTCCCAAACATAAAACAATATCTACCTTCCTCCCTTTAATCGTTTACTGTTCTCAATTTTCACCATTCAAACCCGCTTTTCTATTAAGATTTTATCACGTACCTTTTTTGGCGATGGGGGAGCACAATACAGAGAATGTCCCAGCTAAAAAACGTGCCCGAGTTGACTCGGAGTTGAGATGTGACTCTCCCGAGTCTAAGCGAGTTAACTCTGTAGGAGGTGAATCGTCCGAAGTCGAATTGGCTTCAACTCAAGCTAAGCAAATTTTGGACATACTTGATGAGTTGGACTCGGAAATTGGTCGGGAGGAGGTGATTGAAGATCTCGACTCGGTGATTCGAAGCTTTGAAGAGGAGCTCCACCCGAATAACAACGGCTCATCCCCGCCGGAGGTTCTGCAGCTTCAGCCGGAGGCCGGCGAGCCTCAACCGGACCTCGGTTACTTACTTGAAGCCTCCGACTACGAGCTCGGCTTGCCACCTACCGTTCCCCATTTCCAGGAGGAACAAGCAGACAACGAGCTAGTTGATTTACCATTCGCCGTTAATCCTGAGTCAGTAAAATTGGAAACTCATATAGGTATTGAAGATGAGTTAATTACTTACGACTCGTTCGAGTCAGGACTCGGTGACGGGTTATTTGATTGTTCGGAACAGACTGATATTTTACGGCGGCCCGAGTCATTATCTGCTTTATAGATTTGTAGTATTCGGGCCGGTTCTGAGCCTGTTATTAATTATACTGAAAAAAGGAAAATATAGCACTCCGTTTGGCTCTTCCAAATTATAATGAGGAAAATAATAATTTTTTGAAGAGGGTGATTAAAAGAATTTATGTGTAATATTATTTAATTGAAAAATGTGTGATTGATAAGAATAGAAAGAAAAATAAATTATAATTTAATGAGAAATAATTGATCAAACAGGGTATAGAAAACTATAATTTATCTTGTACTTTTATGTCATTTTTGGGTAATTTATACAAAACACCTTTACTTTATTGTGAAATGTCATATTCTTTCATTTTAGCGAGAATCCTCTCTGACCTTTTTTTTCTTTTTTTTAGAATACAATATTTTCTTTCATTTTTTCAATAAAGTCTTGTGAAATAGAATATGACTTTTTTTTTTTTTAAAGAATACAGTATTTTCTTTCATTTTTTCAATAAAGTCTTGTGAAATAGAATATATCCTCCTATTTCACAATATATCCTCCTTTTTAATAAATAAAAAGACAAAAGAAAAGAAGAAAAAAATAAAGAAGTAATTGCAATTACAGTCTAAACTTTTTTTTTAAAAAAAATGTAAGTTATTTTTTATCTTCTATTTCATTTTCTAGGAATTTATTGTAATTAATATATATTATATATATGTAAATCAAATGAACAACAATAATATGATCGATTATTATTAGGGATAATTGTAGCAAAGGTCTCAAACCTTTCAGATTTTTGCGCACTTTACCCTAATCTTTGATTTGTGCCAGGTGAAGTCCCAAACCTTTCAAAAATATGCGTCGGAGGTCCATCTGGACGGATTCCGTCCAGTTAACCGTTAGTCAACCCAAAAGTCAAAATTGATTCAATTTTGACAAAACTAGGAGGGGATAATATAGGAATTTTACATATTTTAACCCATTACATAAATAAACAAAAAAATAGAAAAAAAA